TGAGCTGCCCGATACAAGGAGCCATTTTCATTCGTAAAGTCACCCAGAAAGCCAGTGCGGCGGCTGGTGCAAGCACGGGTACGAGTGACAAGAAGAAGCGAGCGCATGTGCCAGACCTCTCGACTGACGCAGCTCCAAAAAAGGCGGCCCGAAAGGCCAAGGCCAAATCGAAAGCCAAAGCGAAAGCGCAGGCATTGCAGTTGGATGCAGAGACCACACAGGACCTGCAAGGTTGCATCGACTTCAACGTGGCAGAAGTAGGCTGTAGTGAGCAGGACCAGGCGCAGAGCGCTAAGGGCGGTGCTAAGGAGACGGATGCAGAGGGACACGGGCAGGGCTCTCGACAAAGGCTGTGGTTGGACGACTTGCTGAGTGCTGTCGAAAGGTGCCTGACAGGCCCCTATGCCTTGTTCAAGAATTCGCCAGCCACAAAGACAATGCGAGCGGTAGTCCTTTCCCTCGGGTTGGAGTTCGCTTGCTCCGGCACGGTGGTGCTCCGCAAAAAGCCGCTCAAGGTGTGGTCACAGGCCACTGTGTCAATGTATTGGTCCATGTCCCTGCATGTGTGTGTTTGGCTTTGTGTTTGTTGGTCCTTGCCTTGTGAGTTCCCAACCTCATCCTCAGGTCCGTCCGGCTTTGCAGAACATGTTCGTGGCTGCCCTCACGGAAAGCCAGCAGCAGCAGACCTTGTCTAGTGGACTCGACATGCAGCAGGTTTTGCAGAAAATGATGTCAGAGGTGAGCTCGGGATCAGCTGGACGGTTGACTGGCGCGCCGTCCCAGGTCGTTCAGCCAGACTCAGTCAAGCAAATTCTGCATGACAAGCGCAGCTGTCAGCTGTGCAAGGATTTCCTTGTGACCAACAGCTCGCCGGAGGTCTCGAAGCACCCCGCTTTCGCTGCGTGCTTGAGTAAGGTTCGAGCTGGCTTCTGCACTTGCCCACGGACAAAGGACGATTGGAACCCCAACTTGAAGTGTGACTTTCACGATTCTCTGCACACGGTGCAGGATATGGTTTGGCATTTTACCAAATTGATGGAGACTGAGGCGGTCATTGATGATTCCGTGCCATCGCTTGGGGCGGCTGCGATGGTCGTGGCATCCAAGCTGGCACAGGTGCACGATGAAGCAGCAAAGGCACAAGAGTCGCAGGATAAAGCGGCCGACTCAACTGCGAGCCAGAGTCAGGACTCGTGAACTAGCGTGTTGAGTTGAGTTGCAAAATTGGAGCCTGTGGCTTTCGTGGCTAGGTTATATGTGTGTAGTCAACAGATTCCAGTTGGCAGGAAGAGATCCTGGCAGAGATTGGAAAAGATGCCAGCTTTTTGGTGTCGAAGAAGGAGGCTTCCAACCACGGGGAGGTTGTGACCTTGAATGACAGCATCATTGCCACCCTCATTACTTCTCGAGCGAAGTATATGTTGACGTGCATGAAGGTCATGATGGTCATTCCAGACACTCGAACAGATGCCAGGGACAAGGGGTCGGGATCAAAAGAGCCGGTTTTGGTTGAATTCGAGGATTTGGGTCCCAACTCCGTCCGGGCTCTCTACGACATCATTTTGCATTTGTGCAAGGACGGGCAAGAATATATAATGGAGTTGGAGACACGATTCCTGATGCAAAACCAGAATATGGACGGTGTCAACACGTGGGCTGCGATGTGGATCCAAGTGTTCGAACGGGCCTTGACAACGCGGCGCAAAATGCTGCGGACCACGGAGCAAAAGGATCGTGACAATGAGAAGGAAGGTGCACCGTGTCCAGAGCACGTGTTAGCAAGAAAGCTGCTGCCTCCACCTTCATCGGTCATCACCAAGTCGTTTTGGAAGAATGCCAAGAGCCTCTTGATGGAAGGCGGCAGTGTAGAAGCAGAAATCAAGGAAGAGGTTTCTGCGGGATCGATCCCGCAAGGGACACACCAAGCCGAAGCAGTAGACTCAAGTGCTTCGGCGACTACGATTCAACCGCAGCTTCCGTTTTTCCAAACCATCTACACGGCTTGCTCGGCTGCAGACTTCGGGACTAAGAAGACCGGGGACAATGGCTTCCATGTTTTGGATGTGCTTGCGATCCAGGCTCAGCTCCAACTGCACATTATCTCTTTGGCTGCGTATCTCGTTGAACTTTCCAGGTTTAGTTGTTTGCGCGAGTCTACGAATTCACTGCAGCTGTAGCTGTTACTCTGTTGCTATGTCCCGCCGGACGGGGGTGTTCAGATCGATGAATGGTTCCTTGTTCGCTCATCTGCCAGATCTGCCCTTTGTGACTAGATGTGTAACCAAAGTATTGAAATAGCGGTGGGTGAGTTGCCTATCGGCTTTTGTTGCATGAATTCTTTCCCTGCTATCTAAGGCAGGAATCATCCAAGAAGTTGTTGTCCGTCTTGTATGCGGATAACAAGGGCAGTGCCATCATCAGGGGCGAGGACATCAAGCAAGACTTAGCTGGTCAGCCTTTGTATTGCTTCGGAAACATCTCCACAGATTGTGGCCCCAAGAGCTTGCAGGCCATCGAACATTGTCGTCAGTCATAGTTTTTGTCATCAATATCATGAGTCAATAGTCTATAGTCGAGTCTATAGTGATCTTTCTCATTGTCTGCTGAGCAGGTGGCAACAGTGGTGATGGGAGCCACTACCATCAAGTATTTTATGACAGCGGAGGGTTTCCAGAAGGTGACGTGTCTGGCACCATGCCCGATATGGTTCATGAAGGTGAGTGACCCAAGCAAGTCGGCGATGTTCTCGAGCGGCAGATACGAAAAAACATTGCAGTTCACAAATGCGCAGCTCGGATGCATGAGGCATGAAGCAATGAAGCACGTTTGGTCCGCCAGTTTGGAAGCTATGCTGAAATGCTTGAGGTGTGGTAGTGCGACAACGGTTCATCTTTCTTTGCCCTTCGTGCGGCTGGAGGAGAAGGCAGGCAACCGGAAGCAAGCCAAGATTCAAAACATGTGCTGGGATTCATTCTGATACTATATATAATTGTGTGTGTGTGTGCTTGTAGTAACTTATTCAATTATATTCAACTGCCACCCGTGTCATGATGCGCAGGTCGTGACAATCTTGGCTTCAAAGGAGCAGAGAGATCCGCAGGGCGAGATCATTTGCACTCGCCAGGCGTTTGAAGGTGAGAAGTCTGGCAAGAGTCAGACACGGGGTGCAAAGTCGGATCCATTGCACGCC